AAATATTTATAAATGTGTGTATATATAGGTCAAGAAATCTGATTTTTGAAATGTAAAAGTTGTTTTGTTATTTTTGAAATAAGGTAAAGATAAAGTAGGGAAATTGAATTTTTCCCTTTAGTAAAATGGAGAAGAATGAGCCTTTTAAAAAAAATAAAAAATGTGGCCCATTAATTGAAGATAAACCAAACGATGATAATTGCCCAAAATCACAACAAAAACATCCATTGCCCAAAGTCTGAAGAAGTCGCGACATTTCAATAAATCCCAATTTTAGATCAGACACCAGGGTATTCGAAATCCTATTCTTCTACCCAGACTTCTACTCAACAATTCCCGATTTTTCCCACCCTCCGTTGCCACTCATCACTCAGTTCCAATGACGGACGCACCACGCACGCCGCCTCACTGTCGATAATTTTATTGCATTGTATCCATCTTCTTATTTCTTAAAAGATAAAAAGTTGAATCTTTTGCACTTTAGGGTTTGTGAAGAGATTTATTTTAGTTATAATTCGATTTATTTAATTAAGAAAATTAGATTAGTTGCCTGGCTGCGGATAGGTTTTTATATGCAATTGGATCCTGGGTCTTACATGGTTGTGTAATGTTATAATCATTTAAATGTTAAATTAGGGAATTTGTGTCACAAATAATATTATGTGCTTTTTTTATTATTATTATTTTGTATTGTATTGAATTATATTTTTATATGTATATGATTTTTACATTTTAGTGTATTTACATATAGATTGGAAATTTTTAAATATTATTTAATTAATTAATAAACGACATTGTATTACGACCGTTGACTGTTGACGATCAATGGTCAACGATTAGCTGGCCTCAATTCCTAAATCCACCACTGACAGTTGGTATTGCGATGGTCAAGTCAATTTTCGTACAAGGTATACAGGGATTGGGTGTGGAGAAACAACTAGGCAGAAAATTTAGCTACAGTTTAGAGAATGTATACCTTTAACTTTACTTGTGCATAGATATTTACATGAAAAGAATCCTCGTAGGAGTAGGTTAGGCGTGCGTCCTCAATTCCACGTGTCGTGTTGCCATCAGATAGCTGAGTGGAGTTAAGGTAAGTTTCATTTTATGATTTTGTTTCCTTGTATAATTAGGCGTCCTTGTATAATTACCGAATGTTGTCTTTTATATATTGTAAATGGTGAGTTTTTCTCTAGTGTTAGTATAATATGTAGACATATTTTAATATACACTATATATGTAATTCTTGTAAGAAAAGAAATATACTTATCAATTAAAAGTGGGATTTTACAAATTCCTACTTGTTTTACCAAACTTTGCTTATGTCAAGGAATTAGGAGACAATCTGCAACTACAAGTTGTTCCTCTGAGCAAAATCCAAGTGAACAAAGCTTGAAAAGCTAATATATCAATTAAAATAATACTATTTGTAGTCGTTCACTATCGTATTCATCCTACATGTTATACATATGACAATTAATGATTTGATGTATGAGGAAAATAAAAAAAATAACACATTAATGTATCAAATCACCAACTCCATTCACGTTCAAACTTCCCAATAGCTCTTAAAGTTCATCCTTTTTGCTACCAGTTTATCTCCAAATCTCTTCTTTCATGCTCAATTCACTTCCAAGTTGGGATTTTCACCTATAAAAGCATTATATTCACTAAATTTAGTAGAAATTTTCCCAAATAATCAAACATTATGTACGTTTAAAAAAAAGCCTAGATAAACATGGAAACAATAGTCCCATATGTCCCATTTCAATATTCATGTTAGGCTTAGGACTTCATTGTGGTACTCTAACGATTTCCAGTTTTTTTTACAATGCGTTTTTGAGCAAATAAGAGGGTATCACTTTAGGTTAGCCCCAGGAAGATGAGGAATATTCTGCTGCCAACTTCGTGCTTTGGGATCCTTGATTTTGCGAGGATATAATGCGAAATATAACATGTACTTTCGTGAAGAATATGACAAAATCTAGAACTTCGGCACGATAATAAATTTACGAAATGGTCTAGTTTGATGATGAGTCACAGAAACACTATACACAGCGATGGTAACAAAGAGTATGCCCATGATGTATAGTTTCTTAAGTTTTTTTTCCCCCTAATTAAACAAGTCACTTGGTAAAAAACGAAAAAAAGACAAACAATTGTTTTCCATCACATTGCAGGTAATTGGTATGTCTCCTAGCTCGTGCCTCCATTTCTACGGCATGATGGAATTATAATTGGATAAAATTTCTTTAAAATTTGAATATTCTGAGCCAGCTATGTGAGAAATTATGGGTTTTGAATACTCCATGTAATTAATTAATTTCTGGCATAATCAGACAACATGGTTAATGTTTAATATAATATGTATACATATTTTAATATACACTATATATGTAATTCTTGTAAGAAAAGAAATATACTTCTCAATTACAAGAGGGATTTTGCAAATTCCTACTTGTTTTGCCAAAGTTTGCTTATGTCAAGGAATTAGGAGACAATTTGAGATTATCTTCTTAAGTACTAGTTGTTCCTCTGAGCAAAATCCAAGTGAAAAAAGCTTGAAAAACCTAACATATCAATTAGAATAATGTTATTTGCAGTCGCTAACTATCATAATCGTCCTACTTGTCATACATATATGACAATTAATCATTCGATGTATGAGGCAATAAAAAATTACCACATTAATACATTAATAAAAAATTAGATAATTGGAGGTAAATAAATAATTTAGCATAAAAAAGGAGAATAAGGCAACCCTTGATCTCAAAAATGAGAGTTAATAATTAATCAAGAAGTTTTGAAGATACATGCACCACCAATACCATTTTCAAGATGACTAATTAATTAAGCAAGTTGCCAAGAAGGAAACTGATTAATCTCTTGCATGAATGATCCATCATCAAATTCAGCAAAACCATTCAAGAAACCCCCTCCAGAATTTGCACCTCTCCATATCTCTTCTTCTTCTCCCTTTATCCTCTCTACAAACCTTGCAGACGCATCAAATCCACTTGTCATGGCTGCTTCCATTTGCTTGTTGCTCGAAATTTTCGGTTTTTTCTTTGAATCTGTGGGCTTTCCTGTGAGCCTTTGCACCAGTTCTCTGAAATTTGCTGCATCGGTCTTGATAATCTCCGGTGCAAATATATGAATTATGCGAATTTTCGGCTTCACTTTTGATATTGCCTTGCGAGTTGCTAAAGACGGAGGAGTTGGGTGAGGCTGTTTCTCCATCACCCGTTCCAAGTCCAAGAGAGAGTTGAGGAAGGAAAATATTTATATAATCATCAAGAGACAAAATAAAATGCTTTAAAAAGAAGGAAAAAAAAACAACTGTTGAGCCAAGAACTGTAGGAACCTTAATCTGTCATATTGGAGAAGAGAGTCAATCAATTCAATTATATAGAACTCAATGGTCCCCCACTTCCTCATATACTCGGTCAAGAAAACAGCCCAGGCCCAGCCTATATATTTTCGATTTCACGGTGGTTATCCAAAATTGAGCAAACAAGTAACTTTCTTAGGTTTCTTTACCTCTAATGGAAGTTTTTGATTTGGTGTCAAATGGGTCGTCGTTGTATTTTGATTTTGTATTCAATTATGTCACATTTTGTGCCAACCTACGTTGCAGTCAAAAAATGATAAAACCAAAAATTACTGTGTTTCATTCTACCATTTCTTTTTGGTCAGTTTATACAATGTAACAAAATCGAATGAAGTGATCTAAATTGATATAAAATACAAATATAATGACTCAACGCAAATGAGATTAATTAGAAATTATTTAGTCGTCAAAAGTTTTGATATTTGATTTTCTTTTGAGATAATGCTTGTGTTTTACTAACATAAATCTTGAAAAATGATTGGCCTATTACTTAATAATTCAAATAATATTTGAAGCAACAATGAATTTTCGGAATTTTTGAATATCAGATGTGGGGATTATTAATGTAATTTCATAAAAAAAATCTCATAAACGGTGTGGAGAGCATGAATTGATAGTCGACCAATGTATCTGACTTTACCATACATTCAAAAAAGAAAAGAGAAGGCAAATTAAACATGCACACGTGATGAGAGATCTAAATCCGTGCAAAAAAGATTGTAACCGTCGGATCTGCACGTGCATGTCAGATGCGTATCGTTGAGGATTGAGGAGATACGTGCAAGATCCCAGAAGTCCACCAGGCCCAACAGATTTACGTCATTAAAGCAAATTCACACGATCTTAGTGTGTTGGATGGGCCGACCCACGAATTGAATTTGACAAAGTTTCACTCTTCCTAAAATATTAAATTATTTTTCAATTTAATGTTCAATTTAACACTTATGTACCCATAGCATTTTGGAAAAAATTCATAAATAAAGTGTATACTTTACACCAATTCAAAAATTAGATTTTTTTTAATTTTTTATTTATGAAATAATAAATTATTAAATCAATTTATTATTAAATATATAATATAATTAATCGATCCCACTACGGGGACTATTCCGGCTATCATTTCGACTAGGGGTGTCCAAAAGTCCCGAACCGAACCGGACCGAACCGAACCGAGGGTTCTTCATAAATTAAATAC